CGCTCTCTCTCCCCCTCTCTCTTTCTTCCTCTCTCTCCCTCCCCCTCTCTCCCTCCCTCTCTCTCTCTCCCTCCTTCTCTCTCTCCCTCCCCCTCCTCTCTCTCCCTCTCCCCCCCTCTCTCTCTCATTTCTCTCCTAATTAAACCAATGCTACCATATAAGCAGTCCCTAAGCCACGTTACAGTTTACCTAATTACATTCCACATTAGGCTACTGAGCCTTATTCCACAAAGAATGAGAAAAATGCACCAACTTTACTACTACTACAATAATCACTATCAATACACATCACTTGCAAAACCACACGGTCACTGAGACACAAAGTCCACTCACACTATCTCACACTACTATGAGTATACACATGCACATGTAGGTCAGGTTACAGTGCACTTATTCCTTACGTAATATACAAACAGTTTTCATTATTATTATTATTGACTACTGTGCTCTCTGTACTTGAATGGAGGAAAAGTCTGTTTCCTTTATGATGTTAATAATATAATAAGAATTAATTAGCAAATACAGTGTCTATCTTAATAGATTCCATTCATTGCAGATTATTCCATTAATGTATGAGGGATGGCACTATGGGGGCTGCCCACTTGTGGCCGATCTTTTTCTCTCTCCTTCTCTCTCTCTCTCTTTCTATTTCTCTTTCCCAAAGATTTATTCAATATAGTATAAATGAAAACAGAACAAAAAGATACATAAACTAGAACTCAAAGGAAATCAAGAATATACTAAATCTGCTAAAGTTTAGCAGTTTGTTTATAAAAACAATCATTCATTGAGAATCATCAAGTCACAAATGAGCATCAGTAGTGAGAACACTTAGCAATAACAACTGGGCATGGCTGGCTTCACATGAAATACACATCACACACAAACAAGAACATTTACTTTTAATAGCATAATACTATTATACATTAACACGAAGAGTACAAGTGGATATCTATTACATATAAGGTGTCATAGTAATGTATTAGCATAATAGTATACATTGACTTTATTTTGCTTTTTGTATGCACACAGTTGTATATTCTATATCACAAGGGATGGCAAGAGTAAGGGATGCCTACCTTTACAAAATTGGTAAGCTTTGACATACAAATAAGGACTGTGATAAAGTGTATTTGCACAAAAAGTTGAAAAGGATCTACTTCCTCTCTTTCTCTGTCTGTCTTTGATTCACTTCATTGTTTGCACTCTCAACCTTTTCCCCTTGTTGCTCTACAGGCTCTGAAGATTATTACTTAAACCACAATAATTATTACAACACTATGCTACAATCCTGTACTAGACACACAAAATACAAGGACACCTTATTAACGAGGGCATTTCGTGATGTGCCAATTAGTACCAGTACATTACAGAAGTGCCACTGAAATGAGGACAATTCTCTGTATTGAGGACAGGTTGTGTTATGGCACACAGAAAAGCATGCATGCATGGCCAAATTGCAATCATTTTTATTTACAATCAACAATCATACCAAGGAGCATAGTGAGCAAAGGTGCCAAGAGGCCAAAAAGTGAGAGAGAAAAAGAGAGAGAGGAAGTAAAAGAATAAACATGCAAAGGGCTGACAGTAAGAAGTATCATACATTAAACTCACACCTCAAAAGATCCTGCAAATTATGCTACAATCAATTATGAACGTTTTTGGAAGCAATACAAAAAACCGTGTTTCAATCTGAGGGCTAACCTGAGCGCGGAGCGGCACCATGAAGAAAGAGCGAGTCTTTGAAGCAGGACCAGCTTCAGTCAGCTCAGATCGGCGTCCAATACAAGTCACTGTGTATTTTGTGTAGGAGCAACTGGACGGGAATGATGTTATAAAACAGTAGATTAGTGAAGCTCATAATAATGTATCGATTAAATATTCATAGCCCATGCCCCACGCCTACCCACGTGTAAAGAAAATGGCGTCCAACAGCAGGAGATCATCAGGCGCTGGGAGCAGTCGTAGGAGTACAAACGGGATGCGAGAGAGGGCGTCTATCCAGTACAGAGATGGGGAAATGACTAACGCACACAGACACTTCCTACAGAGCCTCATGTCAAAGAGGATCATGACCAAGAGAGAGGCAAAGAAAACTGCCTCTGATTCACATCGACTTTACAATGAAGAGAGTGAGTGATAGTAACCGTTATATATAAAGTACATTATTAAGATTTATGTACTTGCTAGTAGTCATTATAAAGAGGATATGTGTGCTAAATACATTCATATAGCTCATCATGAATGAATATCATTATACTGTCAACTAACACAGAAATAAGTTTTGTTAGACATCAAAAAGTAGCCATAGAAGACAATGTAGAGAAGACACAAAGAGATTTTCCCCCAGAATTGCTTTCTATTTTTTTGCTATGTATTTCTGAGTGGCATTAAAGTCAAAGTCCTATTCAACTGTTACTAGTAAACTCGTGTAGTTCGACTTTCAAAATGGAGGTGTAGGTGTGTAGATTATAGAAATAAACTTATGAATAATTTGGTTGTGCTCAGAATGTATATCCTTAGTTACATGTTGCTGCTAATTATTATTATCCCATACTGTAGGCTCTGGTGAGGGTCCATTATTTACAGAGTTTGTTCAAACAATCAACGCTAAACTTGAGAGCCTTGGTTTTAAAATCGGGATGAGTAAAGTGGAGCACGACGGCTCGGAGTGGGTTGGGTTTGCAAACACTAGCAGTACTGGAGGAGGTGATGTGATCCAAAAGGCATCAGGACTGGGACTAGCTGAACTGGAGTTCTTCCGTACCTGTGTAAGAAGAAGAAATATGATAATAATTGAAGGGCTCTGGTTGTAAAAAGGGAATTAAAATGATTCCTGTATATACATTGTGTACATGTAAAGTTTAAAATGTATGAATAAAATAAGATGCATAGAATGCACTATGCCCCAATAGCCCATACATTTAAAAATGGCTCCGAATCACCCCAATTTTTATTACACTTTTTGATACATATAGATGTCCTTATGCTATGTAGAAAGTTTGAGCTGATTCTGACTTTAAATTGTGGAGTTACGAACATTTTAGTAAAATCCCAAAATTCAGAAAAATACCCAAGGCATTGAAGGCAATAGTCTTTAAACAATGGCTCTGAAATTACCTCAATTTTTATTGCATTCTCTAATACATGATTATTGATGTCCTTATGCTCTACAGTATTTTAACAGTGTTAGGCCAGTTTTGGTAAAGACAGCTTTATTGCCCATTTCGACTGAAGCCCTTCATTAATAATAATTCTAATAATTGTTTTTGTTTATATTTGGGCCAGGATGTTTGGATCATTTAAAATTAAATTATAACATCATTATTTATTTATTTATTTATACAGCTGCAGCAGATGGTAACAGAAGAAAATAATGGCGTTGCTTCCAGCAGTGCTCTACTGGCTAAACTGAATACACTTCAACGTAAAATGACAGGAAAAGCAGCACAAGATTTACTAGTATCACTGACCAAGGACCACTGGTTTTTTGAGGTTAGGATTTATGATGTTTCTCCTAACTTAGGAGAAACATCATAAATAGATGTTTTTAAGGGAGCATGTACATGTGCATGTACATATAATTATATATGTACGTTCCCCTTGGTTTTGGCTTGGAAAGTTACACTGCATGCTTCCCAAAGTGTGCCTGTTTATCAATTCACCCGCCAAAATCACAACTTAAATGTACATTGTATATGCATGTATGTATATACAAACTCTGTTGGGATTACATGTATGTTGTAACAAAGTGCTTATTGTTTTATAACAAAGCATTAGATTGAATGGCAGTGGTTTGATTCATAAACTTTACGCAAGTTTATGTATAGTGAGAGAGAGAGAGAGAGAGAGAGAGAGAGAGAGAGATTGTAGGAGAGACAAGGAATGAAGTGGGACAAAACAAGTGAGGAGAGAATTATGTAGGAGAGAAAGAGCAAGACTTAAATCATTTCCAAGAATTTGACTAATAATTTGAATATCGTACTCTATCGCATAAAAGTGAAGTGTGTAGGACATTAGGAGTATTTGACATACTTTAAATAATATTAATTATTTGTTATTAGTTGACGATTAGTGAGATATGTCACTGCAGATGGTAGACATTTTTGAGGACATTTTACTACAATAACACAATGAAACTTCTTCCCTCCCCTCCCTCCTCTACCATTTCACATTAACATTCCTTAATTCATCATTCCTCTCTAATTTCCAGCTACATGTACATGTACACATGAATGACAATGACATATGGTCACATTATGTAAATATTAATAAATCTCTCCCTCTCACTGTCTCTCACTCCCTCTCTCTCTCTCTCCCTCTCTCTCTCTCCCTCCCTCTCTCTCTCTCTCTTCCTCCCTCCCTCCCCCTCTCTCTCTTTCTCTCCCACACCTTAAAGATATCCAGAGGTCATTATTGTATGGGTCCAAGGTGTTTCATTGAGCTTCTTCCATTTCTTCCTGAAATAGTTGGGGAATCCATTGAGGAATGTAGGCTTTGCTCCAATCGTGTTGTCATGGTATAATGTCAATACATTTGATGTATTTATGATCTGATGTTTGTTGGTAGGGGGACAGGTGTTTGGGATGTGATACTAAACTACACACGTATTGTATTGTGCAGCTATCAAGGAGGTATAGATGAAGGAGAGAGGGAGAGAGAGATGTTATCACTTATTGCATTAATTTTATCATTATTATTACTATTACTATTATAGAGGTCAAGTTAAATGCCCACAGTGTCATGAAGAATGGGAAGGAGAAATACCAACATTGGAATGATAAAAACAATAATAAACAAAATCAAACAATAACAACATTGAAATTATTACACATTTACATCACTTATTTATGACTGTATGATTACCACAACAATTAAAATTATTAAAATCTTTTCTGTAGCTCTGTGTGTCTGTTAATCACAGTCAGTATAATTTCGTGTGATATTCCAGTGAGAGCTTTCATTGATATCTGACACTGACTCCACCCATTGACCATCCCCACCATCCTCTCGTCTCTCCGAACCTGTAACATGTACATGTACATAATGAGTGGACTGTCCTATCAGAATTCATTTCATTAAAGCTCGTTCTTGCATAGTGGCCAATAAAATCCTACAGAGAGAGGAGGGAGAGAGAGAGAGATGAAGGGAGAAAGAGAGATATATATGTACATAGTGTATACATAAAAGGGTGTGGAGCATTCTTTCTTCACTTACTCAATGTCATTTTTTGGTGTTCTCAGGATATCAAAGTATCTTTGAAGTTTTTTCTCTAATTCCTACAAACACGTACATGTACATTATCATATTACAGTACATCATTATGAGTAATGCGATACTACACATGTACATGTACATATATGAGGTATAGACGATTAGACATACCTGTACATTAGCTATGAGTATGGAGTTTTGCTTCATTAGCTGCTGAATGCATAACTACATAATGATATGTACATGTCGTAGTAAAGAATAAAATAGTTCAGTAGAAATAATAGTAAAATTTAATAGTAATGGGCTATCTAGATGTACATGTACATGTATATGCAGTTGTGTATTATACACATGTTCATGAACATGTGTGCATGCTTATGTGTAAATAGTACATGCATGTACATTGTACAGGTGCATGTACATGTACATGTATGTACAACTGGTAGAAATTGGTATAAATGATATAATGGTATAATTTTGTGAGTAATTATTATGTGCATTATGTGTGTATAATTATGTGTGTAATGGTATAATTATTGTGTGTGTGTGATTAATTAATTTTACTTCTGTTGATCTGATGCATTGCTCTAATTTCTGACAGACTGAGAGAGGGACTTGTTCCAGACGATGATTAATGGATGATAAAGCCTCAGACCTTTGATTAAGAATCTGTAAAGAGGGAGAGAGAGAGAAAAAGACAAAAGGAGAAAAGAGAGATACATGTACGTACACATTAGTGACATTACCCTACACAAGTACATGTAAGGGTGTATATTTCACAAGGATAAAAATTATTTTTGCAAATTTCAATTTTCACAAAATGAAGGCCTCAATCATGCTCCCATTTATAATTTAAGTGCATGTGCACGTGGTTTGTGTGCATGTAATAAAATTAATCACAAAACTGATAAATATTATTTACCAATTGCTGCAAGTGAGTGACATGGTCTGTATAGTCTACCATTACATCCTGGAGCTCTTCTGTTCCTAAAAAGAGAAATACTCATTCTTAATGACTCAATCTCTCATAGTACGTACTGGTACCAGGTATGTCTTCATCATCAAATTGTGATAAATCGGACTGTTCAAGCTCTTTCTCTTCACTTAATATTTTATCTAACCTATACAGTATAAGAGAGAGAGAGGGGGGGGAGAGAGGGAAAAGAAGAGAGAGGGGGAGGTAGAGAGGGAGAGGGACAGAGAGAGAGGGAGGGAAGAAAGAAAAAGACGAATAAATAAAACAATCGTTATCCAACCTTTCATTTTCTTTCATCAAAGCCATTGCTTTTTTCTCAAGTAGTTTCACTTCTCTCTCAATATCTTGCCTCTCATTAGTCTGACCCTGATGCCCTCCTCTACCCTCCCTCTCTCTCACTCCTCCAGTAGCAGTAGCAGTAGGTGAGGGAGGATATGGTACTGGAGTAGCTTCACTGCATGATGTGTCCGACTGGTCCTGATGAGCTTTCCAATAATCGACCGACTGGTGGAGTAGAGTATTGAGATAAGAGTCATAGCCCCACTTTTAAGGAAGAGAAGGATATGAAGAGATAAAACAATTTCAAGAAAGAAAGAATGTAAAACAACAAATTCAAGTAAATGAGCATGTATGTACATGTACATGTATTTCATGGCCCAAATTTTCATTTTTGAAATACAATAATTAACCTATGCACTGTAATTGAAATTGATTTTTATGGTTTGATTTAAGAAACTAAGTTTTCTTGAGTTTGATAAAATTTATTTTGTAGATTTAAGCCAGTACAAAAAAATTAATCCCTGTACATGCATGTACATAATAAAATATACTAAAGTCCATTTGTGTTCACCTGAGCTCTCATTTTCTTGGTATAACTTTTGACTTACAATTTCTATTGTAACAATAAGCATACCAGTGCATTCCTCTTCTTTTGCAGCATCTATTGTGATACTTAAGAAGCAGCTGTAGCTCTCTCCAAATTGTTTGTATAACTCATGCAGAAAGTACAGCCATACTTTTCACAATATTATTGCATTGTGTTATTGGGCAGGGTCTGTAATCACTTCCTGGGCTCAGTGAATGCAAATGGACTTTAGTATTAAGAATGTACAAGAGTAGTATTATGAATAATGTATTGAGAGAGAGTCATAATAACCGGAAAGAGAAGAACATGAGAGACGAGATAAAACAATTTTAAAAAGAGAATGAAAAGAATTTAAAACAACAAATTTAAGAACAAATCGAACAATAATAATAATGTCCAAGTAAAATATTTATTAAATATTTTAAAATATATTTTTTAACAATTAAATATTACATGTAAGTAAATATTAACCAACAGTTGTTACAATGGTGACTGGTATTCTTTGTGATTAAAATTTTATAAAAATTTTGATCAAAAATTTGAGAACAGACTTGCATGTACATTTAAATATGTACATGTACCGTGAATCCATAAATAAAAACCTGGGTGCCTATTTCTTAAAATGACATTTGGACCTCAAAAAAGTAAAAAAAATTAAAAAACTTAAGCCAACAGCTGGATTTAAACTCAGGACCTCACACAAGTGACCTCAGGAAGGTTAACCAAGCATCTAGAAGGCATCTATGATACTTCAGGGCTACATTTGCATATCTACATGTATATTTGCGTATTTGCATATTTACAGTATCTCATGCATTGTGCAGTATTTACATGTACATGCATACTGGTATATGTACATGTACATTACATGTATTTATTGGCCACGTTTGTATAGTATTAAAAATAATGGACCCTCCATACCAAACTGTACATGTACGTACAAGTGAATGTCAAACATTCTCGGATTCTATATAAAGCATGTGAACTGATTATCCTTCATTACCAGTCCTCATCACTGGACAATAGCCTAACACATTACAATCATGACTTACATAATGGAACTGATCAGGAAAGGGGCTATATAAGACACCTGCTACAGGCATAAACCAATTAGTACAGGCATCTGTACTGTATGCATACATGTACATGTACATGTAGCTATGGTATACATGTACATGTACATGTAGCTATGGTATACATGTACATGTACATGTAATGTACATGTACATTGAATTAGGCATGTGCACATGTACAATGTACATGTACGTATACTTGACATTACTTGTACATGTACGTGTATGTAGAATCATACATGTACATGTACATGTACATGTACATGTAGATAGGCGAATGTACATGTATTCTGACTGTGCATGGCTTTGTGGCTGCACTGTATGTCTGTGTGTACAGTAAGTTATAATCAAATATTCTCAGCTAATTATTGTGACAATACTGTCTCAGACGATAGGCTATACTGACATTATAGGCTCAGATAGCATACAAGTAAATTCCACAATAACGAATTCAATTATGATCGAATATTGGCTGTATTGTCACTTCATCGGCTCGAGTACATGAACATGTAAGCTTTCCTTCAAATCACTGCTGTAACCATGACAAAAATATAAACGTCAGCTGGTGCATGTATGTGTACATGTATGTACACATGTACATGTACATGTATTTGTTTTTCTACAATTGAATGAATGGACACACACATACATGTACATGTAAATCACACGGATTTTTACACATTACATGTACATGTACGTGTATACATGTACATATGCACATAATTTAAATCCTAAAATTTCATACAATTTTAAAGAAAATTCAGACAAACAAATAAAAATAAAACAAATTAATAAACAAATACAAAATAAATTAAACATACATGTACGTACAAGTTCCAAAACTATAGTACAGTATGTGATATGAAATAATAATAACAAAAATAAAATGAAATGAATTACTAAAAAATAAAATGAATAACTTAAGGAGACAGTTGTTTGCAGGTATTTAATTTAGTGAATTTTAGTGCTTTAAAAAAATAATACAAAATAATAGTGATACAGTGTATGTGATAAAAGCTACATGTACAGTATTGAGTTTATTAAATGATTTGTCAAAAATTAATCAAGGTGTCTTTAATTTGTAATTATTTCTTATGGCTTATTATACTCGCTGTACATGTACAGTACATTATACACATGTACATGTACATGTACATGTGTATGTAATAAAACCCTGTCCAAGGTAGATTAGCAATTGTACAGTAAATGCTCACTTTGATGTCAGTGAGGATTGATGAATAAAGAGGAGGAGAGTTTTTGATAATGAGGGAGAAGGTTTTCGAACATTTTTCCATCTGCTCAGAACCATTCTTCATAATGTCATTAGAAACATGATTACCGTCTTTCTAATAATAATAATAATATAAAAACACACTAGCAATAAAGGACAGGTACATGTATGTACATGTGCAATTATTACTTTATTTACAATTTTTGCATAATTCTAAAATTTGTTATCAAAATCAGAATCAAGCTTTTAGTTACATTTATTTAAATACTTCAAAGCATCGTGGCCAATGCTTTTTTCAAAAAATGGCTCCAAAATCACCCTCAATTTTTATTACATTTTTGATACATATCGATGCTGTGTAGAAAGTTTGAACTGATTCTGACTTCAATTTTCTGAGTTATGGCCATTTTTTTAATGCCAAAAATTTTGAAAAATACCCTGTACTATAGCCCAGCCCATGCTTTTTTTGAAAAAATGGCTCCGAAATCATCCCCAAATTTTATTACATTTTCTGATACACACTGATGTTCTTATACTATGTCAACAGTTTGAGCCAATTCAGACTTCAATTTTTCAAGTTATGGCCATTTCTTAATGTTCCAATTTTTCAAAAAATCCCTGTACTATAGCCCATAATTTTTTTCTAAAAAATGGCTCAAAAATGACCTCAAATTTTTATTACATTTTCTTATGCATATTAATATCCTTATGCTATCTAAAAAGCTTGGGCTGATTCCAACTAAAAGTTTACAAGTTATGACCATCTAAAGAAATAATCATGTCAAAATAATAAAAATACTTTCATTGTATAACATGTACCGTAAATCCTCAAATAAAAGCCAGGTGCAAATAAACGCCCGTGGGTTAGCAATAAAATGGAACTATAAATAAGCAAATGTAGCCTAAAAATATCACAGATGCCTTGTAAATACTTCGTTAAGCTTCCTGAAATCACTTGTGTGAAGTCCTGAGTTCGAATCCTACTGTTGGCTCAAGTTTTATTTTTTATTTACTTTGTTTCGAGGTCCAAATGTCATTTTAGGAAATAGAGGCCCGGGCTTTTATTTGAGGATTTACAGTACATGCATATTAATGGGAAAATAGCAAAGGTAAAGCAGTTCATACAACTGTTATTGTAAACATTTGCACCATTCTTTTTGTCTGTCCTTCTCATGGGGCAGTTTGAATGGTGGAAAATGCACTTTTGTTACACCTTGTTCATAACCATTTAGTGTATGTAACAGAAATCTTTCCTTAATTACCATTTTGGCAATTACCATATTTTACTGATTAAACGCCCGGGCGTTTATTTCTTAGCAGCAAAAAAATGTCACTGAAAAAATACTTCGAGCAGTACAGAACCCCCAACTCTCAGTAAGTCAGGCCAGGCTCTAAATAATAAGCACTTTGGAGCTATCAAAACAGTGGAGCATTATTTTTGGTAGAAATATGCATATCTGCGCGTACAGCTAGAATATAATGACAGGCGTTTCTTTGAACCAGGCATTTATACGGTAAAATACGGTAGCATTTTGATGCTGAGGGTGCTTGAGCACCCCCCCTCATGCCTGGGCTCAGAAAAAAATTACTGAAGTTCTGGAATCTTGCATCACCTCTTAATACCAAGCCTTACCAAGCCTCTTAATAAAGTTATCTAGCCTCCTGATTATGATTTTAGCAGTTTCCAGTGCTTTAAGGAGTGATCAGAAGTAGCAGTATGCTTAAAATTATCTTGACCCTCACCCATAATTGACAAAAATGAATGAAAAAAAATGCCGTTTTACCGCCGTAAAAAGTGGGCATAGTCAAAATCGCAACGCACCTTGCACGCTCCTAATCACAACTTCTGCAAACATCTGTATCCCAGCAACTCCTTTCCAAATTCCTAGATACGTCCCTGTACATAGCATAATGCAAACCATAATGAGCATCATTCTCATAGAGCTGTTGCACGCAAGTAATCAACAGGGGGGGTGGCTATGACTGTCCGCTATCTTGAGTGGCAAGAATGTACATGGAAAGAATGGAGATGCAGAAACAAACTGGGATTTTCCAACGACGAGACATCATACTTGACTGTAGAATATTATGGAGAGTTTTTTACTCAATATCTTCACTTCCTAGCTTGCATTAGCCTGTATTGTAAACTGCAAAATTTATTTAGATTTTTCTCCATTGTCCCCATTCGTTCCATGTACATTTTTGCCACTCAAGATGGCCGACAATCATAGCCACACCCCCTTTATTTATTTATTTATTTATATTTACTTCCATGCAACAGCTCTATTGCTACGTGGCCAAAAATTTGCCAAATTAACTACAAAAATTTACTAATTCACCAAAATTATGCCCAAAATATAACCAGCTATACTTTAATCCTTACTTTATTGAAGTATCTCGTGGTTTTATTAACAGTAGGTGTGGTGTGAAGCGACTTGGGACAAAAAACATCGTCCCCACACAGAGCGGACCCTCTTATCTTCATCAAGAGCTTGTACTGGTCTTCCTTCCTGGGAAGGGAGAGTGAGCGGGACGGGAGGGAATGAGTATTGAGCCGAGGACCAGGGAACTGTCTATCCGCCATCTTTATTTGGTCGCTATGCCAATGACGTTGCTAGGGCAACTGACCCAACCCCCTAGCAACTAGTAAAAATAAACTCAAAAAATTAATATAAAATTAAACGAATAAAATTAATTGTAAGTAATAGCAAGATTATGTATTTTTTAATACTCTTGGCAATAGGTGGAAGCAAGATTAGATAATAATGAGAAATCAAATAGAACTGTTTGCAGAAATTTTCAAGACTTATAGCCATTTCAAAAAAAACACTGACAGTACTGTCAGTCACCGTCTGAGTTGCACCAAGCGGACTATGCCATATGGTCCTTTACATTGAGCCAACTGTAAAAGAGCTAGGATACTATTAGTTTAAAAATCAATGATAAATATAGTAAGATATTCCAATATAACTGGACTGACAAATGCATGCCTTGCATGTGCATGAAAACCTGCTGTATGCACTGAGAGGAATCATTACCATCGACAAGAGTGGATTCACTCTTTTCATCGAAGAAACATAACCCAGATTTTGATACTGACTTTATTTGAGTTAATTAAATAATTACTGTTTAGATTAAAAATATGCGAGTTGCCACAGGAAATAGTAATTTCTAAAATACCAGTATATATCTCTAAAAATTGATAATGATTATGATGATCAAATGTATAAGTGTGTATTATCTGATGTTTCTCAACTATGATTATTCTACATTTTGTTTCAGTCACTAAGTCTAAATGTTCTGTCAAACTATAAATAAAAATTATTCACATGTTAGCTGATTCTGCTCAGTTTTTTCCTCTTATTTCTTCATACACAGGATTAGTAGTGGTGATCATTGAAGTGTGGGACTGATATGCTTCATTATGTGAAGTAGATATCTCTTGTTGCGACGAGGCAAACCCTGTAATTAATTAATTTATATTAAACAATAGTACACTTACTGTACAACTTCCTCTTGTATGTGACAACAAGCAAAATGAGGCTTATTGTCAGTAGTAGTAATAATACAATAACAACGCCCAATGATGTTGCTGTGATAACTATAATAACATTTCAATAAAATTATACTGAATTGCTATACAAACCTGTACTGACATTAAGAGTTGTTGAAACAGTTGTGGTAGTAGAAGGTACATGTAATTGTGTAGTAGTAGTAGTAGTAGTAGCATAGATAGTAGTATTGATAGTGGTGACACTGATATTAGGAGAAGGAGGAAATATATCTGTTAATGTATAATACTGTAATAATAATGTAATGTAAACACACATACTTACCAAATGCTAGTATAAATGGTTCACTACTACCAACCTCATTACTAATACAATACTGATATTACATTGTTGATTTAGTGGCACTAGTACTGATCCTGTTATATTATTTGGCTGTTTAGTGTACTCTATTACATAAGAGCTACTAAGCTCTATGCTACCAGTATCATTACAATGTACAGTAACTGTAGCACTGCTAGGTGCCTCACCAATACACTCTAGCATTACCTAGTAATAAGGAGAATTTATAATTACTCTATAATATTTCTTACTTGTACTTTGAACTGTACAATAGTAAGCATGTTTTGTGCAAAAGTTTGTTCTATGGAATCCATAGAACAAACTTTTGCACAAAACAGTACTGGAAACAGTGCTTTTACTAACTGATCCAGGAACTGTGTAATACATCAGAAGTGATAATGCTATACTAACAATGTCAGTTAAATTATCAGTTAAATTGTGTAATTATTCCACACATCTTTAGGTCTATTGGATAGTGTTGGTGATCTGGATTATACCTTTATTAATGGATCCAGTGTATTATTAACATGGACAGCTCCTTATACACTGGATAATGTACCTATCACTGGATACTATATAGTCAATGGATCAGTGAACATTACTGCTACTAATAATAATTATACATTATCAGCTACTAATCCTGATCCCTGTATATTAAATAATGTATTTGTTTCTCCTATTACAAGTAATGATGTTGGAATAGGTTCATCTAAAAACTATCAGTTTTTATCATGAAACAGGTTAGCATTATTATGGTTTCATGTGTATGTTCTCAGTGAATCTTTCAGTTCCTCTCACTGTTCCTCCTGTATCAGTGGTACCAGTAATTGATGGACAAATAATATCATTGAATATCAGTGTTAATGTAAGCAAAATAGTCATAATCAATCAATGAATCAGGAGCCCATGAATTACACTTTATAGGTCAGTAAGCTATGTAGTGGTGATTATCCTAATGTTATACATGTTATTATATGGAATATTAATGTGGTACAATACAGTAACCAGTATACCAACACAAGTTAATGATCAACTGATGATTACTGGAGTAATAACTGTACCAAATAATTTAAATACATTTATTGTTAATGTATAATTGGGTAATAACGGAGGAGAATTTTTGCATACACCTTTTGAATTTGGTAAGATTAATAATAGACTAGTTTACCAGGTAAAATTATTATTTATACGCTTTTAGGTTATCTTGGACCAGTTACTAACATTAACTCATCAATTGACGACTGTTCTACAATTGATATAACATGGATTGCTCCTACAGTTGATGATAGAGTATCCATACTATACTATATACTAAGAATATATGATGCTGTTACTGGTAGTCTAGTGGATACTGTATCAGTATATGATACTAGTTACCAGCTTGTGGATAATAATTTATTTATTCATCGTTATACATATGTTATAACTGGAGTTAATGAATTAGGAGAAGGAATATCTAATTATAATACATTCTCATATCAAAGAGGTACAGTAAACAAGAATATCATCTTAATTTCACAATCATTATTACACATTACTATAATACATCACCTTGCTCAACCAATTATCACCACATAAGCCAGATATGGCATTAAAGAAAATACCGGTAAGATATTGACATGAGTAGAAACATGAGTCTGTAATATCATAGATAACCAAAACATAGCCAGTAACTGGTTAGCAGTCTTTTAGTTTATCAATCAAACTATAATAAACCAACATGTACAATTTTTATACTTCATTATTCAACAAAATTTAAACAAATGAGTCATAGATGTATGCGCCGAATGCACTTAATAGAGAGAGAGAAATAGTTACCAGACTACACTAGAATTAACAATGATAGTACAATTAATGATGATAGTACAATTAATGATGATAGTACAAAATAATGATTACAATTAATATGATTAAAAGTGATGATAAAAAGATTGTGTCTGCTCCATCTACTGATTCTAATTGTACATTATAAAGAAGACCCATACACACTCATTGTTATTGTGATGGACGTGGAATCCTTGTCTCAGTAGCACGTGCTGATGAAATGTTTGGGCGTGTCCCTTTGGCAGCAGAATCCTCACAACCAATCACAACAATGCTTGGGGCTTCAGTTGTACCAGATAAAACTTCATGAGCTTCTCCTATAAACAATAGAGGGATACAATATGAAATATTATTAGTAGTGGTGGGAGATATATCAATATTTTATCAATACAAATGATATTTTACAGCATCGATTCGTATTGGTATCAAAATTTTGAAGAAATTTGGATCAATACGCTGATCACGCCCATTTATTAAGGTTAAATAATATTAATAAAGAAAATTTTAATAAGTTAGTAACGTATAATACACACACGTGGATACACATGCATGACAACATTGACAAAAAACTGTCAATAATAAGAGGTGTGACTCCATATGTGTGGTTTAAATATTGTATCAAAACTGTATCAATACTCCGGATGTGGGCTGATATCGATCAGTATTGGATCAAATCTATTTTAGTCAGTATTGCCCACCACTAATTATTAGTGGGCAATAAATAATATTATATTAATTGTAGTGAATTTGAGCTATTTGCAATACAGTTATTTTCAGGGGAATGATCAAAGCCAAAATTTACGTATAGGTTATACACCGAGGTCGAGGTTTCTATGGAATTTATTTACCGAGGGACGCAGTCCCGAGGTAAATAAACCCATAGCAACCGAGACCGAGGTGTATAACAGTCTTCTACCATGCCAAATCTGTAGCTAAGAAACTACCCATGATTAGCAAGACTTTATAAAAGCAAAAAGCCTCTTTACTTCTTTGTATCTTCTTAAAAGAAACGGGAAAATCTCTTCTCCACTCGCGCCACGTGTGTACAGTAAAACACGCCCAGAACACGCCTTTCCAATTCCACTCCACCCATTAAGAAGTTTATCACATGGCCCAATGCTTTTGAGGCTCTATTTCTTTCTTTTCAATGTTCTTTGCTGCTTTCTCTGCTAAAAATGATTACTCCAGATGCCATAGCTATGCTTCGAGGTAAATAATTAGAAACCTGTTTGCTCCCAGGCTGTCCGCGAGGTAAATAACTAAGAAAACCTGTTTGACGACTTTAATAAGTTGGCCATATTTACCTTGGCGAGGTAAATAAGCGATTATATTTACCTCATATGATGCAATCTGATTGGTCAATTGCAAGTAGGCATGGTAGAAATGTAGTTTGGTAAAATAAGTGTCATCCAAGTACCATATGCATGTACATGTACAGCTGTGGTAAATTTGGATGGGGGAATTTTGGCAAATGATAGCCACACACTTGCCAGTATAAAGCCGACCCTTTTTGAGCATGTTCAATGGCACATGGCCACAAATTTGCCAAATTAAAACTTGCAAAATTGCCAAAATTTTGCCATCCAAAATTACCAGCTACTGTATCATTGGTAATTTTTGAGGGTCCAATATTTCACATTTTTTTCCAAAATTTCCTTAGAAGCTAATATTTTTCAGTATAAATATTTATGGCTGGCAGCTAGTAAACTTGGATCAACACCATTAGCTTCCAATACATGGCTTATAGTTGAAAATACATGTAGTAGTTAGAGCTCTACATGGGCCGGCCCCGTTAATTAGTTTTTCATTTGTGGGTAGTAGGGGTTAAAATTTCATGGATAAAATGCATCACAAAATTAATGAAAATTAATACCCCACAAAAATTACCAACCATACGGCATACAATACATGTACATATATGCCTTCTCTTCTCTTTTCTTCCTTCCCTCCTTTCTCTTACCAGGTTTCCTAAGTCTAGAGAGAGCAGATAATAGATTATAGTCAACAACAGGAGGAGGCTCCTCAACAGGTTCCCATCCAACAGGAGGAGAGCTAGGAGGAGATATAAAGAATCTATTGGTTTGAGCCGGCAAACTTAATTTTCTTTCTCCTATAGTAACAGGCTAAAGAGAAAAAGAAAAGAAAGAGAAAAGGAGAGAGGGGAGACAAAGAGAGAGAGAGAGAGACAAATAGACAGACAGAGGGAGAGAGAGAGGGGGAGGGAGGGAGGGAGATGGAGAGAGGGAGGGAGGGAGAGGGAGAGAGGGAGGGAGAGAGGGAGGGAGGGAGAGGGAGAGAGGGAGGGAGGGAGAGGGAGAGAGGGAGGGAGGGAGAGGGAGGGAGGAAGGGAGAGGAAGGGATGAAGGAGGGGAGGAAAAGAGAGAGAGAGAGATGTGATGAGGTGAGTGGGATTTGTACATGTCATGTACATGTACATGTACGTGTACATGTGAGGAGGTGAAAGTAAGAATGTAACTTCATTGTATCAGTAACAACATTTTTTACAAATTATTGACAATGTTAACTGCTAAAGTGTTAACGATAAACAATAAATCCTTTTATATTATTACGCATTACTCCTTCACTCAACAAGTACTAACATGAATGTGTGACATTTTGCTGAAAACAATTACAATGTACATGTACATGTATATGGTTGCAGAAGTATAATTAGATATAAATGTAAATTTACAAAAAATCATAATTATACAAAAGTAAATATTTTATCACAAAAAAATGATAATCTGAAACATCAACTATAAATTCCTAAAATGATAAGATATTTAACATATTCTATACAGTAAGGAATGTAATTGGTACACTACATGTACATGTACATGTACATGTATGTGCTGTCAGTTAAATTGTGGTGTCCGCTATAGAAAGTGTCTGTTGACAGAGGCCATACGGTATGCACTATGCACATACACGTGCATGTAATTATACATACAAAAATAAAGGTAAAATTAAATTTAGCAAATTTGGCGTTTTGATAGCCATTCACCAAAATAAAAATCTGCCATTTTTAGCCAATTATGCGCATGCTCGATGGCATGTAGCCACAAATTCACCAAATTAAAATCCGCCAATCACTAAAATTTAGCAATTTGCCAAATTTAACTCCCTCCAAAATTTCTCAAGTGCTAGACAGTATTTACATGTACAGTACATGTACAGTACATGTATTATTTTATTTTCAATTTTTCACCTTAACTGATTGGACTTTGAGGTCTGCTCCGTGAAACTCTGTCTTCTTCAATCCCTCGAGCGCTCTCTGCCCGCTCTCCTCATCCGGATAAGAGACCAGTACACGAGACAATGGCTTGATGTAGCTAAACTGAACCTCTGGGCTGTAGCAACGAAATATACCCTCGAATTCGGACTATAAGAAAAAAAAACTTAAATAAAATACTTTCAAAGTTCTATTCACCTTTAGAGACACCATAGGGTCCTCAGAGAAGACTACTGGAGGTACACCGACCACCCAAAACTTATCATGAAGTTCCCTCTTGACAGCAGCCATGCTTTTGTGGGCATGGGCATTGGGCAGGGCATATTTATCTAGCTCCTCCTTCATTTTTAGTATTAATTTTTTACCGAAGTGTGGCCATGCAGAAGCAGGAGCAGGGTTCTTCTTGTTCAGAATTTATTGATGTTTGTGACAAAGAATTAAGTGAGTTTTTAATAGGTATTTAAATGAGTGAAATGTTGCATTATCTGTCATTACATAGATATTACCCAGTTTCATCATGTTTATGATAAAATTAAGCCACTTTCTGCACATTGGAAGTCGTTTGCCATTTCATTACGTTTGAAAATAGATGCAATTACTTTGTGTGTATATTATTATTATATATGCATACACATTATAGATTTCAATAAAAGAAATTGAGCATGCATGTACTAATATTGGTAAGATAAACTCCAATGCACATACAAATGCTAAACGAATTTTTACTGTAGACATGTATGATCCATTATGGTATGAGAATACCAGTACACCACTACATGAAGCAGCTTGGAGGGGATTAAAAGATGAAGTACAATGGCTCATTGATAAGTTTGGCTACAGCACATATCATCGTGGTCTTCATGGTTGGACTCCACTACACTCAGCATCATATGGTGGGCACATTGAGATCCTTCAACTACTCATCCATCAATATGGTATTGATCCTAATGAAGGTGATGATAATAGTGTATCTAGTATACATATGGCATCTTATAAAGGCTACTTATGTATAGTACTATATCTAGTAGACACGTGTCACGTTCCTCCTGATCAACCAGACAGTAGCAGTAACACCGCATTACTGTACTCAGCAATGGGGGGCCATTCTGACCTAGTCGAGTTCTTTATTGAGAGAAATTGTAACACATCACAAGACAATAGTAATGGTGCATCTTTGTCTTTGTTAGCTTGTAAAAGTGGTCAATTAGCATTAATTCGAAAGCTTGAAGCAAGAAATCTGTTCGTACTAAATTCAACAGATTTTTATGGTTTTTCTGTACTTCATTATTCATGCATGTCTGATGGAGTTAAGCTTTTGAAGTACCTTCTAGATCAGTATCAGATAGCAATTGATGTGAAGAGTCGAAAAGGCAGTACTCCACTTCATATTGCTTCATGGTTTGCTTCATCATCAGTTGTTGAGCATAATGTTAGTATTCAAGGTAATGAAGCATTATTAGTTACTGATAATGATGGCAAGTTATGTCTACATTATGCAAGTGATGCATCTATGCATATTGAAGCTGCTTGTATTGTGTGCAGTAGACTTTTTGTGCAACATAATACAGCACGTATATATATCAATGGAACTACCATGATAAAGCATAATATTGACTGTCATAAATTTAATCAGAGAGCTAATTTTTTTTTATCTACTCTGATGAAAGCTAAAACATGCCCCAACTTTGACATCAATGCCATTACAAGTGATGGCCAGTCATTACTTCATTTTGCATCATACAGCTATAGCATTTTGATTATGAAAGCATTAAAAGAATACGGCATTGATTCTTCATTAGATTATAGAGGATTATCTCCCGTACACTTTGCTACCTGGTCAGTTTCTACCAGTGTATTGAATTATATTATATCTCAGTATAATCTCAATGCCAATGATGCTGATTATGAAGGCTGTACACCATTACTCAGCTCCTGTTCGTTAGGTAGTGTTAATTCTGTTAAATATCTTATTTATGATCATAGCAGTGATCCTACTGTCACTGATAATAACGGTATGACTTGTCTTCATTATTCTTGTCGTCATGGTCATATTGATATCACTCAATATCTCATTGAGGTACAACACTGTGATATTAATAAAACAGATAATGAAGGACGTATGTTAGTACATCATGCTGCATGGAGTGGTAACTTTGATTTAGTTAATTATCTTATTACTGGACAAGGTTTGTCTCCTACTGCAGTTACTAAGAATGGCCTCACTGCTTTACATTATGCCTCAATGTCTCTTAACTTATCTCTTGTTAAAGAGTTAATAACTACCTATCAGTTAGATCCTCATCAAGCTGACAGTAATGGTAAGCTACCAATTCATTATGCTGCTGAATCTGGCGATGTTTTATTACTGGAATTATACTTGAGGGATTACAAATGTGACTTGAGCCAAACAGATGACAGTGGTTGGAATGTTTGCCATTTTTCATTGTTCAAAGGTCGCAGCCATTTAATTAAGCATATAGTTCATCAATATCCTACATACGTTAGTTTGCTACATTCTAAGATTATACTACCATTAAATTTAGCCTGTTATAGTGGCAATATTTACTTAGTAACTTTTCTGATTGATGATTTAAAATGTGATGTCACTGCTTTAGACAAATATGGAAATTGTGTTTTAGATGCCTTTTCATCAGGTAATATTGATTTGGTACGATTATTGATACAACAGTACAAGCTTGAGCCTATCATTAGTAATAGTTCTGGTTTGACAGCATTACATGCAGCAGCAAAGGCTGGTCATACTCATATATTGGAATGGTACAGTCAGGAGTATAGTGTGGATATTACTAATCACACTGACAATAACAAGTACACACTAGCTCATGCAGCTGCTTATGGAGGTAAGCTAAATTGTCTACAGGAACTGATCAACAAGTATCACTGTGATGTTAATGCCACTACTACTGATAATGGTAGTACAGTTCTTCATAGAGCATGTGCAGGAGGCCATGTTTCTGTTGTACTTTATCTCACTAGTCTTCCTCAGTGTAATGTAGCAGCTAAGACTTATAATGGATCAACAGTTCTTCACATTACCTGTCAGTACAGTGACTCTCTTCCTATACTCAAGCATCTGGTAGAGAATCATCAGTTAGATCTTTGTGCCGTGAATGATGAGGGAATGGCTTCTATTCACTTAGCATGTAGTGAGGGAAGATTGAACTTGATCCAGTACATTATAGAACACATACCATCATCAATTGAACTACCTGACAGTCAACATGGTCGTACATCATTCCTTACTGCAGTGTACTTCAATCAGTTAGAAGTTATTAAGTATTTTATTAGTAAAAAGTGTAATCTATCAGCTACTGATGATGAAGGGTCTGTAGCAGTTCACATATCAGCAGAAAGAGGTCACTTGAATGTACTTGAGTATCTCATTGATAACAATTATGGTAATCCTAATGTAGTTGATTGTCAAGACCGTACACCACTACATGTTGCTGTTGCAGCTGGACAGTTTGAAATATTAAAATATTTACTGAGTAAGAGTATACCCTCAATGAGTGTTGTCTGGTTACGTGAGATAAAGCATTTATTAGACAGTCCTCATGACATATACAATAATCCACATAATGCTGTACTTATTAATGTACAAAATAAAGATGGTAATACACCATTACATCTTGCTTGTGGGATTGGACGAAAGGATATGGTGTCGCTATTACTAGAAACCAGTCTGTCTAACAATAACTTATTAATTACTAACAAGAAAGGACAGACATCATTACACTTAGCAGCTGCCTCTGGTCATAAGGATATTGCTGCAGCTTTACTGTTTTCAGTCACTGGTAGTTCTACTCATCATGATCTCCTTACAGCTAACGATGATGAAGGATCCACTGTATTACATACAGCTTGCAGTAATGGTCATATTGATATGTTTCATTATTTGATCAGTATTTATCCTCAAGGTGTTAATGTAATGGATAATAGAGGACGTGGTTTACTTCATGCAGCATGTGAGGAAGGAGATATTGGAATAGTAAAAACATTGATTGAGACACATGGATTGGATCCTTTATCAGAAGATAAAGATGGCGTTTCCTGCTTACATTTAATAAAAAGAGTTTATCTATACCAGTATTTGGAACCAAATATTACATCTAACCCAACACCTAAAGACAAGTCTGGTCATACTCCTCTTCATTATGCTTCTCGTTCTGGTAATATTTGTATGGTACGGTATTTCATAGAGACCTTCCCCTGTACTCCTGATGATCCTGATAATAATGGATACACTTCAGTTCATGGAGCATGTGAAGCTGGTAGTATAGAGCTAGTACAATACTTTTTAATTAATCTTCATTGTAATGCACTAGCTGAAACTGCCGATCGTAAAACCTTGCTTTATTACGCTACTATTAATTCTAATTTAGAGCTTGTTAGGTTTTTAGTTGTTGAATTTGGTTTAAAACCTTATCCACATGATATTGATATAGCTAAAGCAATTAATCCTGAATCAGCATTAGCTAACTATCTTCAAAAGATTTTCAATGATATGATATTTGATATGATCAAGGAAGAAAAGAGAATGAAGGAGGAAACTCATCACGAGAAACACGAGCAGCAACAGATTGGCCTGGAAACACATGATATCATATCTTAAACGCTCGCTACCTTAATGCCAATACCATCTAACCATCACAATTTTAGCACCTCTTATCACCAACATTATCACCTTCATACTACTTTTTGTAACAATTATAATTATTACACCTTATCACCATACTAATGTATATACCTATAATATCATGTTATACACTTCCTCAATATATTCACCAATTTACTTTTATATGGATTTAATAGCTGAACTTCTCTTTTCTTAATTTCTTTGATTACTCTTCAACTTATATTTTTCACTTTCTTCCTATTGAATAAGAAATAATTTTTTTATTGGTATGCAACTTTATTATGTATTGTACCTTTATTAAAAGTATCATTACCACAAATACAGTAAGTAATCCAAACCACGACACACTGGATAGTACATGTAATCTACAGGCTATATACCTTTCAATCATGTGCACTGATCAAAAATAATAGGCATTCCAGGTAATGATGATTATTAATTCTGGCTAGTACTGTATTTCGTAATAATGAGTATTGTACTATAGTAGACCCTAACTTATTAAACTTAATAAAGACTGTTTATAACATATTAAAAATTATGGGTGTTTTGTAGCTAATTTGTAGATGATGGTAAAAATAATAAGCTCATTTGACTAAATTTTTTTTATTTATTGCCATTTTTAGCCAATTTTTGAAAAATATTGATGTCTTATGCTATGAAGGAAGTTTGAGCTAATTCTGACTAATAGTTTTTAAGTTATAAGCATTATACAAAATAGGTTAATTTTTGAAAAATACCAAGGCTGTATATAACCTATAGTTTTTTCCAAAAACATTGGCTCTAAATTAAGTCACCCCAAATTTTTATTACATTTTCTGATACATATTGATAGCCTTATGTTGTGTAGAAAGTTTGAGCTGATTCTTAAAGTTATGTACAGCCATTAAAAAAGATACCGAATATTCAAGCCTATAATAGCCTTGGCTTTTTCCAAAAAATTGCCCTGAAATAACCCCCAATTTTTATTTGAGCTAATTTGACATATTTTCAAGTTACGGCCATTTTAAGAAAATACCAAAAATTTAGAAAAATACCCTATATTATATAAATGGCTATGTAATCACCCCCAATTTTTATTCTATTTTTGATACATATTGATGTCTTTATGCAATGTAAAAAGTTAAAGCTGATTCTAACAAATAGTTTCCAAGTTATGAGCATTTTAAGAATTGCTAGCAGTGACTATTACTCCATACATTAAGTTTACTGATGCATTATTTTTGAGCCAATCCCGATTAAAATTACATTTTTCACAAGCTATGAATCAAGAAGGAATCCTCCACCATGAAATACAACCCTGAAAGAGAAACACTTCATGTATATGATATACACAACCAACCTATTCTACATGTACATGTCCTAACCCCCTACTAATAAATGCTATTAAAACACATTGTAGTCTATGTATTTTTCATGGGCCACTCCTGTTAGTTTCTAGTATTATGTGTCTAATGTGACTATACATGTAGTACTGGTAATATCATCAATCCTTATTTTTAATTTATATCAACAGGCTTCTATTTAATAAAAGCATTTGATTGACACATGTATAGCAGTAGCCCCAAGAATTCCGATTGATACAGTCTTTTTTTGGATACTGGATATACAGTACATTAAATTTACATCTTCTCTCATTATTTCTGGTTTAATTTGGTGCAACAGTTGTTATTCCCAAACGTAGACCTCCACAGTATCTAGGATTGATTTTTAATTGTTATTCTGGCTATTTATTTATTTTTCTATTATTATTCTTGTTAATGCTTGCAAATTATGTTTTATTGCATGCATGTTTTGTCTATAGTGAAGGAGGAATGTTGTATTTTTGTGTAATTAATTGATTTATGATTAGCTTAGTAACTATTGTAGTTATTACCATGTTTATTATTGCATGTGCTATACCATTGAGTATACAGACAATTCTTTTTCAACCTGTGAATTATTGTCTACTTCTTGACACGTTAGTACATAACAGATTGATATAAAGGAGAGGGAAATAATGACAACAAAGAGAGAGACAGTGTCAGTAAGAGAAGGACTGTACAGTATATACTGGAGAAGGAGAGAGAGAGAGATTGATGAGAGATCAAGAGATGTTCATGTGTGATGGTAATACATTCACATGAAGTCTGAATTGTCTGATATGCACCAGGCTACTCTGTCTTGTATGAGGTGATAGTTAAGGTAAGTATTAACACAAGTCACTTTGTGTCGTTCATCTAACCAAAGTTTCCTTATGTTGTTATTATCCATTAATGAATTTAGGATGATTAGTATTGACTCAATAGACAATAAAGTACACCTTAGATCCAGTTCAACCAGTGATGAGTTATTGAGGAGGAGGTGAGAAAGAGCCTGTCCACTAGTAGAAGTGATGAGAGGATTAGCATAAAGAACTAATGAGGTAAGTGTAGAATTGTGTTCAAGTGCTTGACAAATATTAGTAACTCCTCTATCACTAACTGAGTGGAGACTGATGTTTAGTTCTTGCATTGTTTTATTATTAGTCAGTAGTATACACAAGTACTGGATACAATCATTAGCTAATGGAGTGTACCATATCTCAAGTCTCCTCAGGCTTAGTGTATGCAGTTTAGTTGATGATAATAGAGATACTGTACTATTAGTAGATGAGTGGCTGAGGTGAATCACTTCATTAATATTACTAATAATGACTTCATTACACTGCACTGGAGATGGATAGGTAAGGAATACACTGTCACCATTCCATTTCACACTGCTAGTGACTCCTATTGTATAAACCAAAGGATTATACTTACATACATGTATATACATGCTACATATTCACATCATGTGTATATACAAACACAAGCAACTTACTACAACCAATAAACAACACACAATGTACACACACACAATGCATCATGTGCAGGTAGGGACAAGAACGTAATTATATTGCATGGTCATATCACAGTAATCACATATTCTTTACTTTTATCATGTTGTTCCTTGTCTTGTCTCAGTGCAGATATCATAATAGGATCATCATTAATAGCCTCCAAGAAAAGAGAAGCTTTCTCATTATTAATAGACAAATTATTCCTTATCTTCTGTAGAATAGGAAGGAACACTTCTTTCACTGACAGTATAAACTCTAACAATTGAAGTGACTCCAACTTTGAGTAAATTGAGGAGTAAACACAACTACTAGGAATGAGGCTCTTTTTACCAGACACCAAGGATCTTCCTTTCCACTTAAAACTACTCTCCTTCTCATATATTTCCACTTGCTCTCCCTCACTGACTAAAAGGTCATCAACACATAACTTATGATAGTCATGACACACTGTGTAAATAGATTCTGCTGTTGGTGATTGTGTACACTGATCCTTCTCTATACAATAAACAATTATTTAAAAATTCTCTTATTGTTGACTACTACACTTAATTGTGCATACCCCCTGGTAATAGTATTTATATTCAATATTTTACTCTCACTATTTTTTAATAGTTGAAGTGGTTAAAAAAATTGCATATTGAATTCAATCACATGCATGTACATGCATTCATACAGGTAGCTCATGATACTATAATTAATTTTGATAAAAAAGAATTTGCCACAATTGCAAAAGATACAGTATTGTGACACTTTCCAATAAAATTATTATTGGTATTTATTCAATATTGGTCAGTTAGTGTATTCATGTATTATTGCTAGCATGATACTAGCTGTGTTTGTGTGTGTTGTGTGTGTGGGTATTATATATTTAACTCACCTCCACTAGTTAATAGTATTTCTTTTATTTGAGTGCCACGGTGTCCTCCTTCATTAGCTATCTCTACTGCACTCTTTCTTTTCTCATCTTTACTGATAGGATCAGCTCCTAACTGCAGTAGCATTGATACTTCGAAACTATCACCAGCTTTAACTGATTCATGGAGTGAAACATCAAAATTGTTATTGTATTCTCTTCTGATAGGAATTGCATTATTGTCAACAGCTATTTCCAATATTCCTAATCTACTCATTGAATCTCTTTTGTTATTGATTGTATCAATAAGAGGCTGTGATAGTGAGGTTGGTATTATTAGTGTAATAATGATGGAGCCTCTATCAATTTCCACTATAGTGAAAATATCTTCTACTAAATGTCCAAAGTAGTATTGAAGAACTCTTTCAAAATTTTTCAGAGTCATCTCTTCCCATTTGTCATTCAGTTTAATAACAACTGGTTTTGTTTGATCACTAGTGGTTGGTGAGGTTGCTGCTGGTAATGGCAATAATTTATCTTTGATTGCTGATCGTATGTGCTTCAATTGTGATGATTCTGAGAATTTATCAACACTTTCAATGTATTCTGTTAGTTTGGCATGAATATCATCTGATGAGGAGATGAAATGATGTGCTAAACTCTTGAGCAATCCAAAATTGAAGAAATTGTAATGAGGTCTAATGGCATCAAATATAGTGTGCATGTTAATTTCTGATAACTTTAAACCTTGCCCCAAATATTCTTCTGCATGATATATAATATCATCTGCTTGTAGTTTCTCATTGGAGACAATTTCAATAAAATGTTTTCTGACTTTAGTGACAAGACCAATAAACTGGTGATGTAGTGATTCAATGCTGAGGGCAACCTCTTCCTTTGAGCTGAGTTGTATCACAGTGGGTTTAGAGTGGGGTTCAACATGCAATTGGCGTAATGGCTGGACTTGTCCTGGTGATCCATGCACAGCCTCAGTACTTAATATGCTGCCTTCTTTATTTCCTAATACTTGATGTGTCTGTAGTGATGGTGCAGTTTTACTTCTTGGTTTTGGTATTGGGGGTGTCTCTGTAGATAATTTTTTATGACGTCTTGGACTTGGTGGCAGGGCTAGAGGTGTAGATAGTGATTTTTTGCGTGGTTTAGGCACTGGTGGAGGAGAAGTCTTGAGTGTCATTTCACTCTTTTGTGATGAACCTATTACATGTTGTATCATTTCATTGTAAACTGTTATTTGTAATACATATAATACCTTTTATTTTTTCAGTAGCTTCTCTCATTTTATGTAGCAGTGTTGGACGTTCTTCAAACACTTTGCTAAGAAGTAACATTCCTTCATCAGCACTAGCAGCATTTCTAATCTTTCTTATAGTATCAGCATCAAAAAGAGACTCCTCCAGTTGTCCTTTGATCAATAACTCATGAAACTCTATCAATTCAGGTACTGTCGGTTTATCATCTAGTATATCAATTAATGCAGTAGGAGAGAGTGGAGGACCTCCTATCAATGGCTTGCTTGTACTAGTAGGAGGAGTTGGCCCTATTGTTAACAATAGAATTTACAACCGGTGATATGATTTCCCAGAAGAATAACAAAATATTATTCATTTATTTAAAATTATTTATTGTCGTTGTATATGGTATGCTACTATGAATCCCAGTATAGTCTAATATTATAATTACTAAAAAACACTCGTGTATGAGGTGTCAATATCATACACAATTGGTGATATTAACTTACTCTCTTGATCTAAATTGTCAGCTGCAGCATTCTCATTCATAGATTTAAGAGCATCTGACAGTGAGTCAAAGGTAGCTCCACCTTTACTGTCAACATTATCAGCTCTGGACAACCACTTGGAGAGACACTCTGTCAGACACTCATAAGTTGTAACACTGTCCCTTTTAATGATGTCCAGTGTGTTCTTGTGTAGTCCTAGTGTCAGTCCCAGCTCATGCCATCTTGCCTGAGGGAAACCACATCTCTTCAACAGATTAAGAACATCAATCAGTTGATCTATTAGTAAGAAAACATAAGATATACAAGTGTGCTGCAGTTAGTCAATATTACTTGTAGTAAAAGGAGAAGTGGAGACAGAAGGAGAAAGAGAGTTGCTCTTAGTAGCCATTAATTTTGTTCAAATTGCTGGCTTGCAGAAGTATTAAAGGGTGGGGCTGCTTAATTCATGACGTCATTGTCAGGTACTGTGTATGCACATTCATGCACACGCTAGGTAGCTATGGCTATGGTGAAGTGTCAATGCTTGTTGCTGCATATGGTGACCAAACCTTTGTTGTGGTGGAGCAGAATGCCGAGTAGTGGAGAGACTCTATTTTAGGCAACATTGGATAGTATCACCATGGCAATTGATCTAGTGGATGCCGAACTAAATTGTATATATATGCAACAAATGGCACCAGTTAAGACTTTTCTATTAGTGTGAATATAAGGATGGAATAGGGTTATCTATTGTTATATTGAGGTTGGGAAAAACCCGGTGTAAACTTTGACAAAAAATAATAACCAAATAAGGCTAAATTTTAAGAAATACTTCTTTAACTACTATGTTCTGCCTGTTATCATGTCAAGTGGACAATAATAACAGTATACACGCTGCACTATTATAGTATGACAATGCAAGCTGACACTTCACTACTTCATACTATCACATTTATCATGTGACACGACAATGACGACATTGTCAGTGGTAGTACATGTAACAATCCTGCACTAATATAAAATAACTGGCACTATAGTGTATGACACAATGACAATGCAACTAGTTCAGCTGGAATTCGTGATATCTTTTACAAAAAATATTATGATGGCTTTAACCCTGCTACTAGGACTCATATTACTTTGTACTGGGTTAGCAAGTAAGCCTCAAACATTTTTATAATTATGATTGATGTGTACATAGGTGGTATAGTGACTGGATTTCAATATACTAATGGAAGTGTGTGTGCTGGAGACAGAGTGGAGTGTAACTGTACAACAAGTGTTGGAGTAATAGACTGGACCATCAGTTATAGAGTACTAGGATCCAGTAACCAAAGCTGGATACATGTCAAAACTGTAAATTTCAATAAAGCTAGAAATGGTTCTACTACAGAATGTGAGGGATACACTTTTACTTATGATCCTGATGATAACAGCTCAAGGCTGATATTTCATTTGAATGCATCTGAGAGTATTCTAATTGTATGTCAAGATGGCCATGAAGTGGACAATGAAACTGCAATAATCACTGACATAGGTAAACCTGTTTTAAAGTAAAGAGAATTAATTGATACCGTCAATGTTTTGCTTGTTAAATTATTGTTATTAATAGGTTATTATGCAAGAGCACCAACAAACTTAACAACTGCCTTCAATGCAAGTGGAGTTATTTTAGAATGGGAAGACACTGAGAATAATTGTACCTCCACAGAGTATTATGTGACTCTTAATAGTACATCAACTGATGAATTGATGTATAATACAAGCAACACAACCTTACACATTAAGCCAAGTGATTTGTTGGAAAATGTAACCTATACATACACTGTTAAGGGAAGGGCTGAAAAGCAAAGTACTATCAGTAAACCATTCACACTTGGTAGGGTATATGTCTCACTAACAAACATTTAGCCATTTATTTTTGATTTTTAGCTACTATTAAAGTGAAGAATGTTGCAGTATGTACAGCTAATACTACTGATCCTTGTAAGAATAATAGTTGCTGTGCTAATGTTACACTGAATATAACACTGGTGAGATTATTTGATTATTATACTCTTGTTATGAATAACTTCATAATGTTACCTAACAATTCATGCAGGAATCATCAGATCATGCAGATGTGAAACATCCAAGTCAGTTCTATAACATATCATACAGTTCCAATACTGGAGAAGTATCATATTGTATAACTGATTATGATAAAACAAAATGGACTGGATCAGGGTTTAATTACAATGAGAGGTATCACTTTACAATCACACAAATGAATGATTTTATTGCAGGAGAGCAAATAAGTATGTTGTGTGTGCAATAATTTATATATTTATAGTACTGCAGATAACAATACAACGACTTCTGAATATTATTGTCAATCACGTGAAAATGGTGGTTTACTATGGATAGGGATTTCTGTATTACTAATCATAATATTGTTCATTATTGTAATACTGTTAGCCATCATTGTATGCCAATGTAAGTACAGGAGCCAGAGGAAAAGCTAAAAATGTTTCCAGGGGCGGAGCTCTTACGCTAATGCTATTGCATGCAAACAATGAAGGCTAATTAAATATAATACAAATTATGTACATTCATGCACTTCCAAATTCTGATGTTACATGTAATTTCAGGCATGTCTATACTATTATTATAAGTTAATACAGAATAATTATTAGTATTATTGTCATTATCATTGTATTTATTATTTTTGTTATTATTATTATTATTATTGTTATTATTATTATTATTGTAAAAAAACTAAATCACAAACCAAACCGAGAGTAAAAGCCTCACAAAATTATTCATATTATTCTTTTGATTTATTAGCCTAGTAAATGACTTGTACAATTAAATGACACAATCAAAATTAGAAAATAATTACTAATCACAGCCTCTTAAAAATTTTAAAAGTAGATGTTAGACATGCTCTCTTTCTTTTATACAAAGTCTAACAGGATTTTTTGATTTTAAAGCAAGCAGCTTTGATAGCTCAAGTGAAGAAGACTGGTCAGTAGAAAGGACAAATCTTCTGCAAATATTAGCCAATAAAAGGTGAAGCTCTAGCTCAGCTAAACGCCTTCCATAACACATTCGGACACCAGCACCAAACGGGAGACTACCAAATGTAACGAGACCATCTTGCTCCTTCTTTCCCTCCCAACGATAAGGATTAAAATGCTCTGGATTAGGGTAGAGTTTTGGATCTCTTCCAATCAAAAAAAGCTCAAAGATTATTGAAGTATTTTTTGGAACTTTGTAGCCATGAATAACCATGTCTGTTTGAGCCAGTCTTGGAATTGGTGCTGCTGGATAAAGTCGTAGTGTCTCCTTGATACAGTTCCTGACTAGAGGCATCCTTTGGAAATCGTTGAAGTCAGGTACTCCATTTAAACCACAGACACTAGTAACTTCATCGTACAATGCTTGCTGCAGTTCTGGTTTCTTAGAAATGTGATGGAGTAGAAACACTGCTGTGTTAGATGAGGCATCGACGCCAGCAGAAAGCAAATCACATGCTTGCGAGAGAGCTTGCTCTTTAGTTAGCTTTTCCTTTATCAGCAAATGCTCCACTAGGCTAACCCTTTCCTCATTAAGTACTTCTCCTTCCTGAGCTAATTTCTGAAGCTGTTTGAAACGGGACTTCATCATGCTTTCTCCAATAGCATGCATATCATTCACTGCTTTTTTAAAATTTTTAAATGGTGCAGTAGGATACAGCTTATACAGTGGTAATGCTTGTAACATACTTCCTATGTTATTATTGAAATTGACTGCTGCTTTAGCAAAATCATCAGCCATTTGATTCCCTTCTTCAAAAACTGGCAAATCTTTATTGAACACAAACCAAACTACGCATTTAAGTCCCCATCGTTGTAAATCATCTCGTATATCAGTGATATAAAAATCTTTACTTTTCTTACTCAACCAGTGAGTTCCTAGCTCCTGAGCAGCATCATACAACTGATTAGAGAAGGTCGCTACTTTACGAGGTGTTGCTGGTTTCGCCATTGCAGATCTAAGTGTCTTCCACTCTTGACCTCCAGTGAAGAACATGAATGGAGGAACATCAATTTTATGACTAACCCAACCAAGTTTGTCTTCAAACCCAAAGCCTCTTAAAGGATATTTGTTGCTGGCTTCATTCTGAACCATTACTTTGAATACATCTGGATCAGTTGTAAATAAAGCTGGGCTCATACCAGGTATGATCAGTTTATAAAGTGAGCCATACTCTTTGAACCAGTCCAAAGATACAATTCCTATTGGTCTCTCCTTAGTAATCCTTGTCAGGAAAGTTGGAAGAGCACCAATCACTGGATAGCATTTGGGGCCAGGAATTTGCTTAAATGGTTTGGCAGACTTCCATAAAGCTAGTGAAGATGGATCCGCTTCATTGACGTAAACAGCAGACGAAGAATGACGATGAAGGCTTGCCAAAGAGAGAGAAAAGGATCTTCTGATTAAACCACTCCAACCATTCATTTTTCCGAACAGCACCTCCCCCCAAAACTGCAGAAGATTAAACCACAAAATTGCAATTATCTGGAACTAATTGAACAAACATGTCAGTATGGTTGGTGCATGTTGAGGTGATATAAGAGGCCAATTTTAAAAATATTTTTGTGATTATTTTAATACAAAGATTAGAGCTGGGTTACAGCACAGCAAATCGTTAAAATTTTCGAAATAATTGTTCACAGCAATAATTATTATTTTTGTAATTATAAACCACATTATTATTAAAACAATAATGAGAGGATAAGAGTGAGAGAGAGAGAGAGGGAGTATAGTCTCTTGTTAGGACAGTGGTGGTATGGATCCTCCTCCTCCTTCCATCTTCTCAATTTTCTCAAAATGCTTGCGAGCGTTTTTTACATTAACAAGAGTAACAGCAGACGCTAGTTAGAAAAGAGAAAATTATATATACGAAATAATAGAATCTAAATAGAATTAATTGGTCGTTTGATGCATCAAGTGTATGTACATGTAATGTACATGTAAATTGAGTAAAAGGTTTTATTGGTAATAAACAAACAACAAAACCAAATAACATTTGATACAAGAACTGTTATAAGAGCTACACATGTAAGCTGTACTTTGTATTTGCTCAATTGAATGCACCTAGCATTTACTCTGTTATTGGAGAAAAATCCATAAAATAGAATTTGAAATGGCAAGAAGTGGGACTAAACCCATCAGAACTTAGACGATTTTACATGAAAAGTTACACTAAATGACAGCTACTATAGTACCCTTCATTATTAGTACATGTACCGTACAAGATGATTTATTGGCAAGAGTAATATTTGGCGAATTTGCCTGTGGCAAGTTAATTGGCAAATTTTATAATGGCAATTTTGTTACACATGCCATTAAGCATGCTCAGATTGAAACAAAATGGCAGATTTTACATTCGCAATTTCTTTAAAAAAACCACGTATCACTAATACCGTATAGCTTGAAATTTTCATGGAATGTAAATTTCGTGTTTTCGTGGTTACGTGTAAACGTGGTAAACTGTCAACCACGAAATTTAAACCACGAATTGCCCCACTAGGAGCAAACCACGAAAATATCGACCGACAAAAATTTCAAGCTATATGGTATTAACTCCTCGCCTATAAATCATCTTGTACAGTATAATATGTAGTTACATGTATGTACATTGCATTTAGTGACTGGAGTTTATTTGAGGAGGGCTTTTTGTACATGTACTACATGTATACTGGTCATTCACCATGCAAGCAAGGACACTGTCTGTTATACTGAATTGTTAGTTTGACTTACGTATGGTTGGGTCAGACATGATAACCATTACATAAGTGTTTGGAGTAAATACATCAATAAATGCAGAGAACTGGGAATTCCGTAGTACTTCCATGCTCTGGAACTGAGTCTAAAGTTTGCTACACAGAAAGAAAAGGTGAGAGAGAGAGGGGGAAGAGATAAAGAGAAATTAACAGATACAGTACATGAACATGTAAATGCACTGTAAAGTGATTTAGTCTTATATGCATTTTGGCAAATTTACTATTTAGAATTTGTGGGTTTTTTGGTTTGCCAATTTTAATGCAAGCGATATTCACCAAGCATGTCATAATGATTGGCAATTTTGATTTTGAAATCTACCAATTTAATCTTAAGCACTATAGAAAGAAAGAGAGAGAAAGTGAAAGAGCTACGTGTAAAAGGATTTGTTGAGTTGTCAACTTTTACTCACATGTGTATTACCAAGCATGCACGATTGTAATGATTGGCAGTTTTAATAAAATTAAAGTCTGTGAAATTAAAAAGCCTTGACGGCAAGCAATTACAGAAATTAAGAGAGTGAGAGAACACACACAAATTAACTGTCACTACCTGCAACTCAGTTTAAACTGCTTGACTATGTTACTAATTTTTTCAAATCTATGAATGTCACTATGTTGCCTCTTCACAGAATGAGCTATGACCTAAAATGACATCATATGACATCATCGAGTCACATGATAATATCCACTTACCAGGAAGGTGGCTCTCTCAAAGAGGAGGACCTCATCAGCGTCAAGAATACCAGCAAAACTGTCAAGATGCATCTCAAGTGTATTGACATTAGGTATGAGGAGATGGACTATTTGAGACCAGGCCTAATAATAATAATAATAATAATAATAATAATAATAATAATAATAGAAAATGAAACAATATTATTGAAAATAAATTAATATTAATAATATTGAAAATAAAATAAAAAATTAATAATAAACAACAATACCGTATAGCTGGTAATACATGTACTGTACATAAATTTAATTTTTAAACTTGCTCCGAAATTAGGCCAAATACCCTGTACAGGGTATTTGACCAAATTTCACCAAAAATGACTAGGAAAAAATTCTCCAATTTTCTAATTTTTCTGATAGATATACATGTTCCTATTTTGTGTACAAAATTTGAGTTGACTCAGATTAAATTTAGATTTAAAAAAATTTCAAAGTTGCTCAAAATCAGGCCAAATTTTGCCAAAAATGACTCATAAGACTTCTCCATTTTTATAATTTCTCAACACAGTAATACACAAACAAGTTTTAATGCTGCCTAAAAAGTTTAAGCTGATTCCAATTAATTTGGATTTTTATAAATTCTTAAAATTGCTCAACATGTTCATGTACATCATGTACATGTATATGCTATTAGGCTTAAGTACATGTATCATGCTTCTTAGCTCACTTAGAATGCTTTGTGGGAAACCTAGCATTGTGTCATGCTATACATGTATAGGGTTAATATTGTAGAATAATATTAATTATATTAAATTAATAATAATTATATTTAATTTTAATATTGTTTAATAGGTTTTTACATCACTATTTCTGACCTTGTAAAGTGTCTCATCCCATATTGATGTCTTGAAACATTTACACTCAAGGGGCAACGATCTCTTAACAAGCTCAGATTCTCTCTTTTCATAAATCTAAATGAAAGAGAGAGAGGAAGGGAGAGAGAGAGGGAGGGAGAGAGAGAGAAAGAGAGGGAGGGTTGAAGAGAGAGAGAGAGAGAGAGAGAGAGAGAGAGAGAGAGAGAGAAAGGGGATAGAGGAGGAAGAGAGAGGGACAGACAGAGAGAAAGAAGAAAAGAGATTGAGGGAGAGAGAGAAATAAAAGAAATGAATGGAGAAAGGAGCGACTCATAATGTACATGTATATCAATATCATATGACATACCATTTGCCTCTGGTCTTCAGGTAAAAGATCCATTTTATGTATAGCATAAAATGCTTGCTGCAGTTCTGGTTCCTTGGAAACATCAGTGATGGAGTAGAAACACTACCGGCTGTATCGGAAGAAGTATCAACACCAGCAGACAGTAAATCGCATGCTTGCGATAGTGCTTGCTCTTTAGTTAGCTTTTCCTCAATTAGCAAATGCTCCACTAGGCTAATCCTTTCTTCATCAAGTACTTCTCCTTCCTGAGCTAATTTCTGAAGTTGTTTGAAACGGGACTTCATCATGCTTTCTCCAATAGCATGCATATCATACACTGCTTTTAAAAAACTTTTAAATGGTGCAGTAGGATACAGCTTATACAGTGGTAATGCTTGTAGCATATTCCCTATGCTATCATTGAAATTGACTGCTGCTTTAGCAAAATCATTAGCTGGCCATTTGATTTCCTTCTTTGAAAACAGGCAAATCTTCATTGAACACAAACCAAACGACGCATTTCAGTCCCCATTGTTGTAAATCATCTCTTATATCAGTGATATATGAATCTTCTCCTCTCTTGCTCAACCAGTGAGTTCCTAGCTCCTCAGCAGCATCATACAACTGATTAGAGAATGTTCCTACTTTATGAGGTGTTGCTAGTTTTGCCATCGCTGATCTAAGTTTTTTTCCATTCCTGACCTCCAGTGAGGAACATGAATAGAGGACCATCAATTTTATGACTTACCCAACCAAGTTTGTCTTCAAACCCAAAACCTCTTAAAGGATATTTGTTGCTGGCTTCATTCTGTACCACTACTTTGAATACCCCTGGATTAGTTGTGTATACTAGGCTCATACCAGGAATGATCAGTTTATAAAGTGAGCGAACCAGTCCAAAGACACAATTACTAATGGCCTCTCCTTAGTAATCCTGGTCAGGAAAGTTGGAAGAGCACCAATCACTGGATAACATTTGGGGCCGGGAATTCGCTTGAAAGGTTTGGCAGACTGAAGACGGATCCGCTTCATTGACCGTAAACAGCAGACGAGGACCACGATGAAGGCTTACCAAAGAGAAAGAAAAAGATCTAATCAAACTATTAATTTTGCCCCAGCACCTCCCCCAAAACTGCAGCAGTTAGATCTAGATCTAGCTAACCACAAAATTGCAACAACAAAACTTGTGATCTATACATTTTAAAAGTTAAATGTCATAAAGCTCTCTTTCTTTTATATGAAGTCTAACTGGATCTTTTGATTTTAAAGCTAGAAACTTTAATAGCTTAAGTGAAGAAGACTGGTCAGTAGAAAGGACAAATCTTCTGCAAATATTAGCCAATAAAAGGTGAAGCTCTAGCTCAGCTAAACGCCTTCCATAACACATTCGGACACCAGCACCAAATGGGAGACTACCAAATGTAACGAGACCATCTTGCTCCTTCTTTCCCTCCCAACGATAAGGATTAAAACTCTCTGGATTAGGATAGAGTTTGGGATCTCTTCCAATCAAAAAAAGCTCAAAGACTATTGAAGCATTTTTTGGAACTTTGTAGCCATGAATAACCATATCTGTTTGAGCCAGTCTTGGAATTGGTGCTGCTGGATAAAGTCGTAGTGTCTCCTTGATACAGTTCCTGACTAGAGGCATCCTTTGGAAATCGTTGAAGTCAGGTACTCCATTTAAACCACAGACACTAGTAACTTCATCGTACAATGCTTGCTGCAGTTCTGGTTCCTTAGAAATGTGATGGAGAAGAAACACTGCTGTGTTAGATGAGGCATCGACGCCAGTAGAGAGCAAATCACATGCTTGCGAGAGAGCTTGCTCTTTAGTTAGCTTTTCCTCTATCAGCAAATGCTCCATTAGGCTAACCCTTTCTTCATTAAGTACTTCTCCTTCCTGAGCTAATTTCTGAAGTTGTTCGAAACGGGACTTCATCATGCTTTCTCCAATAGCATGCATATCATTCACTGCTTTTTAAAAATTTTTAAATGGTGCAGTAGGATACAGCTTATACAGTGGTAATGCTTGTAGCATACTTCCTATGTTATTATTGAAATTGACTGCTGCTTTAGCAAAATCATCAGCCATTTGATTCCCTTCTTCAAAA